TCCTCGGCAGACACATTCCGAGTGTGGAGAAGCGCCTGGAGTGGAGAGACGAGGAAAAAGACCAGTGAGCTAAACAGTGAAGAACAGTGGAAGTCTGCTTGCTGTAATCCTTCCAGACAAATGGCAAAACAAGCAAAAACATTTACATCATTAAACCTCATCTTAGACAGCTGGTTCACCTGTAATGATCAGGTAATACACAGTTATCATTTGGCATATATTTATATTCTTACTAAGCATTATTTTTGTTTAGTTGTTTATTGTTTGGGTCGGACATTCTACAGTCATGTGATGTGACCATAGGGTAGACCCATGACTACATTTCCTGGCACACTCCGGTATTATTTACGGCTAAGTCAGTTGTACCAGCTTTTAGAGAAATGCAGCAGTAATCATGATTGGAAAGGAGCGGGCCATCCCAGTCGTAGTGCTGCACCTGTTTGGCTGCCTCCTCGGGGATGTCCAGTTCTCTGAGCTGCTGCAGAAACACTGGGTTGACATCCTGAGAGCCTGAATCTGGGCCTGGCTGCTCTGATGGCTCCATTATTGTCTGCAATGAGAGGAAGAGAAAACACTGAGCACCCTGCACAGCATGAACACAGTGAGGATGAATTAGGACACCAGTTGTAACAGTATTGTTGAGCTAAATGGATTCATAAATGCTCTTCTAGCTGCTACAGTGATGCATGACTGTGAAAGCAGGTCTGATTATTAGCATGTAGCTGCGAGGATGGCTTGTTTGTGCAAACATGCCAAGCTATTGGATACACGCCTGAATCCGAAACTTACACAAGCTGTATGGCTTTTCACACAAATTATTCATATTGCTAAAGTGGATTTTATCCAGCTGGACTGCATCAGCTGACATCGTACAGGGACGCACTTCTCCAAGTAAGGCCGTATTTAAAAAAATAAATGAATGACCTCACTTTTCTTCCACATGCCACAAGAGACTATGAAGATAAAGAAAACCGCCCCATCAGATATCAACAAAGTGCAACAAAACAAGTCCTAAAGCAGCGATGGACAAACTACGTAAAGCCCGCTGGTTCTGCACAGGTGACAGCTGCTAGCTCAGCGAATGCGTTACACACCATTCAAATTAGCATCCACAGCACTGCAGCTAACACAGAGAAAGTAAGCCTTCTTTTATGGGCATTACGCCATGTCAGTAAGAATTTCTATCACAAACCGGCCTAAAAATGATTCACGTAAGTGTTTCTTGATAAATACTTAAACGTCCCAGCTCTACGGCTGTGCTAGCTATCTAGCTAGCTAGCTAACATTAGCACTAGCCGCTAACGCTAACGGGACTAGCTTAGCGAGTCGCCCGTAGTTACCTGTTCTTCTCGGAGAGCTCGACAGGAGTTTGTATCCGTCTCAAAAATTTCACTCACAACTGCACGGTTCCTGTTTGAATGTGGGGTTACATGCAGTGGGATTCCCGTCTGGCACTGTGTTCAGCGCTACTCCATCTTGGCCCTTTGTGTTTGTTGCTAAGGATGCTGCCTCCTGTCGAGGACGCGGAGCGGATTCTCTGCTGATACTAATTGTGTGATGATGATGTGCGTGTTGTGCACAAAGCAGACACAAGAGTGAGGACGAATTATCATCACTGGTATGTTTATATCCTCGTTATTACACATTTAAATAAGAAATATAAATGTATATATTGAATTAAAATCACACAGTTATCCCTCCAATTTTTATTTTTATTTTTTTTCTTTATTATTATTATTATTATTATTATTTTTAAATATGTATTTAGTTTACCTTTAAACAGGCGATAATAAACTTGGCTTTTATTTTGTTGACCTGGTGCAGCGGAGATAAAGCCCATTTATTTGTCACTCAGATGCTGACTACACCTCAGCATCTTCATCTCTATGGTAACCGCGCCCTCACCTGTACAGCGCACTCACCTATGACGATCTTTGAAGGCAGGGGCGCCTCCAGAGGTCTTCCAGGGGTGGCCACCGATGGGGCCAGTGGAAATCATGGTGCAGTATAGATAATAAACTGTGTGTTATCACTGGCATGTGCAATGCTGTGTTTTTGTATCATCAGTACTTGTGTATATTTTTATTTTTTTGGATTTTTACATTTCCTCAATGTTTGCACTTTTTTTTTTTGCTGCTGTGACCTTGTAAATCTCACCGCTGTGGAAAATACTTTTATCTTAAAAACCCACACGCCATAACTAAATGTATTAAATGTTCTTACACTGTTGTAGCATCGAGGCCTGATAAAGAAATCAATTGTCTAAAGCAGCGGTTCTCTAACGTTTTGAGCCGTGACCTCCAAGATAACATAAGTTTGTGTTCATCACCCCCCAATTAGATTTTTAAATATATCATGAGTCATAACTTTGTTGTTCATGAATTAATGCGTTAAAATGAATGTGTTAATTCCACAGATGAATTTCTTTACATTGACACGTTCATTTTCTTTTGAATGAATGAATGAATGAATGAACAAATTAAAGGGAAAAAAAACATAAACACAAAAGAAAGTTATTTTAAAAAGAGCAAAAGAGAATAATAATATTATAATGTTAACAAGTTCACCAAGGGGAGTGGGAAGAAGTAAACACTTCTCATTTTGACAGCCTTCATACAAAATTATTTGATAAATATAAGCTTTTTTTTTTTTTTTTTTTAATATGATCTGGCGACCCCCTGAAATTATCTTGGGACCCTCATGGGGGCCCCGACCCCTAGTTTAAGAACCACTGATCTAAAGTGTGTAGATTGAAACAGGTACTGTTTGGATTTTGGCTGTTAGGGTGAACACTGTTCAACATGGCCCAGGAAATAAGTTCACCCAGAGACAAAACAGTTTATGAATGATTTCAGTATTTAAATTCTGTCCACGTGTGATCATTTATCGACCTGCAGCTAATTAGGATACAAGAAAATGAGTTTTCTTTGGTAACAGGTGATGCTGTGAGATTCTGGTTGTTACATCCACATGAACAATGATGTCACTGATGTAAATATTCTGCTATAAACTAGAAAATAATAATAATAATAAAAGAACTTGATATGACCACAACATTTTGAATTTAGTGACACATACAGTGAAATACGATCCAGCTGTAACTAAAGATTTAACTGCAGCTGATGAACTGTGACTGACTCAGAGGTAAAGAGAAGAATGCAGCATTATTTACTGTTATATTCTGACTGATCTTGTCCTTGTCGGGGAAATTTACAATTATTAGCAATGAATGAAGTTACCATTGTGATGTGTTGCGTTAATAAAGGCACGTATCTGTTTTAGGAGATGCTCAGGTGTTTAAAAACCTCTGAGCAAAGACAAACAAACTTTTCATCCTTTTTCTGAGGTTTGCACTCAGAAACAGCAGCTGCAGGAATGAGTTTGACATTATTAGTATGTTTCTGAAAGAAGAAAAGAAAAACACATAATTTTAAGAATACTTTATTACATCTGTGAGAATTTGCCACTTCTCTTAATAAACAGGTTAAATCACTACAGTTACATTTGGAATCAGTATGTACAATGATATTAACACACAGAATATGAAACATCCCTAAAGCCGCTCCTTGCAGAGCCTGCTCTACATCGCCACATTTACACAACAGTTACACTTTTTCCCTCAGACGGTTCGATCATCACTGAGCTCCCCCCACCCCCAGACCAACAAACCATCTGTTCATATGAGTCATTAGTTTGCTGTGTTAAGTCATGTAGTGAACAAACCTACGCGCTACATTCAGACACACAATCTTCAGGTGGACACACAACAAGAGAAGAAGATCCTCGTCACTGTCGTCTGTTTTGGTCACTGAGGAACAGGGCTGGAAATCCCACCTCGCTGCTTCTTAAGAGACGAGGAACTGACTGGAGCTCTGACTGGCGTCTCATCTCCTCACAGATATTGTGATTTAAAGGTAGATTTGAGGACAATGGGGATGTTGCTTGAGTATAAAATTGACTAAAACTATGATTTCACACTGGTCCAGGGGCTGTGTCGAGGTTTATGGGTCGGTTTGGGGAGATATCCGACGTAAACCCAAGTGAAGTGTGGCAGCAAACACTTTTTAAAAAGGTACCGGAGAGAAACACACGACCAGCAAACATCAGGCCGAGTCTGGAAAGTCTGTGGAGGCAGAACAGTGTGACAGCATCGACTACACCTACAGAACCAGTAGTAGTTTAATTAACTTAAAAGAAATAAAACGCCAGACAAGTTTATGACAAGAAACAGCGCCGCCCTGTGTTCAATACAGGAAGCAAACTTCAACGCGTACCGTCAGCTTGGAGTGGAGACCAGGAGGATTTAATATAAACCTAACAGGAATGTTAAAACTTGTACAAAATGCAAACACGCAATAAAACACTGTGGTGCACGTTAGACCTGCACTTCATTAACATGAGTTCTGTTTTATCTCTATTGACGTTCCAGTGACTTGTACACGACAGACACATCCACATGAATATGTATAAAAGCAAGAAAGAGGAAACCGAGTCAGGGTTTCAGTACCTTAAAATGCTCCGACTAGCAGGTTTCTGCTTCTAACAGCTCACACAGGAGAAAAAAACAGAAGTAGAAACGTCTGAAATGTGTGTTTGCAGCTTTGCAAAGCGGGTGTGTGTGAGGGCAGATCTGCTGCTGTTCTGGTGGACATAGCGGGTCGGTGGGCTGGTTCTATCGGGTCAATCAGAGAGCAGTGGATGCAGCACAGGAGGCTGAGGTAGAGAGTGGCAGTGACTTATTAAACTTTTTGATATTTGCTTTCGTTGTGAACAAGTTTTTTAATTTTTGCACTAAAATGTGAAAAAATAATCTTGAAGCTCCACGTTGTCAAAATACTGCTCACTCCTAGATCCAAAATATCA